TCGGAAGACTAGCGCGGATCTCCTTCTCACCCGGAAGTCTGAAGAATGACTCCTCCGGATCTGTCAGCTAAGAATCGGAAGACTCATTGAAGACCGAAATTCTCAGAAAGCGGACAAATGAGAAAATACTTAGAAAAATTATCTAAGTCCTGAATGAAGAAATTCTACCCGTTGGTAAGGAAAAATCAATCTCTTGATTTTCAACGGCTAGATTGAAGATAATTATGCTGATTCAAGAACAAATTACTCGAAGACAAAGTCTGGCCCTCTAAATTGAAGAGCCTGCCCAGAATTCCTAAACAAGGACTAGAAGACAAACAAAGTAAAGTGCTACTGTCTTGAATTCTTGAACAACAGCTAGAAGACAGATTCTGTGGAAAAAGGAATCCTTTCTCAACAATTGGGTACGTCCAAACACCCACTTCAACAAAGAATCTTCAAATCACAATCTTAATTCAAAATTGAAGCCAGCAAATGCAACGGATAGTCTATTATGATTCAACGGATAGATTATCCAATCCAGCTATAAATAGCATCCTTGGAAGACTGGAGAAAATATGACAATGAGATACGTTGATACAACAACACAACAAAGAAAACTTCTAAGCTATCTCATTCAAAGTTAGCCCAAAAAGCTTGATAAAGAGAGATTTCTAAACTCCTTATCCAGAAGCAAACTCCTCCTCCTCCTTCCAAAGAGCTATAGTGTAAACACTTGAAGGTTTCCTTGCCTCAAGTACCACACCACGTTGAAGGATACAACTTTTGATCAAACTTCTTGATTAAAAGGGGGTAGGTCAACATTCTTACAAGTTGATCTTGCAAGTCCTATTGTTCGGACGTTGCAGTTGTTGAAGAAACGTGACCTTCGAAGGAACAACAAAGCCAGCACGAGTGCAGTAGCAACATTGGCCTTGCGAAGATATACCGTGCAGAAATTCACAAAAGTGTAATTGTTGGTTCATTATTCAACAACCAACTACATAGTGGATTTTGAGGACGTAGAAGGATTACCCCACCTTCGAACCTCGTTAAAGTTTGCGTGTCTCTCTCTCTTTTACCTTTACTCTTACTTACAATTATATTAACTGTGAAAACTAACCCATCCATATTGATTACTGCTCATTCTACCCACCAAATTCCGCATACAATCTAAAGTTCACAAGAACTCTAGATTAACACTTACTTTCACGTTTTTAAAAGAAACGAAAAAGATTTTAAATCTGTAACAAAGTCTATTCACCCCCCCCCTCTAGACTTTGTATTTCACCACTTTGGGACCACCACTCCAACGGACCAATGCATTAAAGGGGTGATTGGCTTGATTTATGGGATTGAAAAGATTTGGGATCTGCAGAATCTTGGCTTCCCATCGATGTTTAGGACTTACCCATCGCTGGTAAGCCAATTTTCCTTCAGTTTTGAAGCCAACGGTTACCTACCCATCGATGGGTAAATGCTTCCCATCGCTGGGTGGGAGGTTGA